ACAAAAAATTGAAAGAAATTAATATAGAACAACAAAAATTTAATGTGTTACGAAGCACTGAACAGTTAAGTGAAAGTATTATAGAAAACGTTAAAATCGAAAGTCATAATGTGAAGCTTCCTAAACTTACGATTCCGAAGTTTTATGGCGAGAGCTGCGAATGGCTGACATTTTGGAACACTTTTTCATCAGCCATACATCCAAAATAAAACGCTTGACGCTATAAGCAAATTTAATTATTTGAAATCCTTTTTGGGAGGTACTGCTTATAACACCATTGACGGTTTCGATTTAACCGAAGAAAATTACGAAACTTCAGTTAAACTCCTCACAGAAAGATTTGGAAATAAAGATGTACTGATCAAACGCCCATATAGATAAATTACTGAAAATAAGACCTCTAAAGGATTCTAATGACATTCAAAATTTCCGTAAGTTATTCAATTATATACAGAAACATATTCGATGTCTTGAATCATTAAATATGACCTCAGAAACATATGGAGCTTTATTAACACCTATTTTGCTTAAAACATTGCCCCCAGATTTGGTTTTGGAGTATAATAAAACAGTTCGGAAATCAAATTACGATTTGAATCACCTAGTGGAATTTCTTTCTGAACAGTTAGTTGCGCGGGAACGTACATTCCAGACGGTCCAGCCAAAGGCGGCGCCGCAAAAGCATAACAAACTGAGTGAACCCAGACCTATTGCGAAACACACAGCTTCGGAGTTAACGAACGCAAGTTTGCGGGGGGGACAAACACCATGTGTTTTCTGCGACTCTTCTGATCACGAGTCTATAACGTGTAAACAAGCATCTTTATGGTCTACTGAGAAAAAAAGGGAGAAATGCAAAGCGAAAGGGAATCTGTTATCGCTGTTTACACCCACGGCATCTTAGTTTTAATTTGCACTTCTAGAATAAGGTGTGAATTATGTAAACAACGACATGCCACTATAATGTGTTTTAAAAACGAAAACGGAGAAATTAAGGAAGAACAAATTGAAAATAAGGCCTTAACGAATAATTCATCCTATGAAAGTGTAATCTTGCAAACTTTAATTGCCAATGTTTACGGAGATGGTGAAAGCAATTTTATACGAATAATTCTGGATACCGGAAGTAGCAGATCATATATCAGCACATTTCTTGCGGAGAAATTAAAACTAAAATCTTTAGGTCAGGAAAGTGTGACTCATGGGCTTTTTGGAGGAATAGAAAAAAGGGAAAATCACAACAAGTATCTGATTAAGTTAAATAATCCAGAAACAGGATTCACATGCGAAATGGAAGTTTTGAGCCAAAAAACCATATGCTCACATATTCCAAAATTGGAGGATAGGGAATGCTTAAAGAAACTAAGAGGTTACAAAATTTTTCCCAGTGATGTAACTAATGAGAATTCTTGTTTATTTGAAAAACACCCTAACGAAATACACATGCTTGTAGGAGCAGATTATGCCGGAAAACTCTTTACAGGGGAAATAAAACACGTAACGGAGAGTTTAGTAGCGATGAATACACACCTTGGTTGGACAATATTAGGGAGAACGAAGGTAAAGGGAAAAAATTTTAATGAAGTTCTTTTATCACTACACATTAGTGACAGAAAAATTTGTGACTTGTGGTCTCTTGATTCTATCGGAATAACTGAACCAGCTCTTTCGCAAACAAAACAAGAAATAGAAAAGGCTACAGAAAATTATTTCATCCGTACTTTAGAAAGAGATGACGCTGGAAGATATCAGGTATCACTTCCATGGCTTCAAATTCATCCTGAGTTGCCAGATAATAGAATCCTTGCAGAAAAGCGTCTGAAGTCTTGCGTGAAAACCCTTCAGACAAAGAATTCCTTAGAAGCCTACGAAACTGTTTTAAAGGATTGGGTAGAAGAGGGAATAATTGAACCTATCGATATTTCGGAGGCAGAAAAGATCAAAGGGCATTATCTGCCACATAGAGCAGTGTTTCGGGAAAATTCGACTACCAAAATTCGACCAGTGTTCGACGCATCTGCAAAGGAGAAAAATTCGGTATCTCTGAACGACTGCCTGGAAAAGGGTCCTAATTATCTTGAATTGATCCCCAAAATTTTGACAAAATTTCGAGAGGGGAAGTATGGAGTAATTTCGGATATAAAAAGAGCATTTCTTCAGATAGGTGTGAACCCAGCGGATCGAGATTTTCTCCGGTTCCTATGGTGGGAGAAAGGACAGCCTGAAAAACTGACTATATATCGGCACCGAAGGGTTGTATTCGGCGTAAACGCCAGCCCCTTTTTACTCGCTGCCACGATTAACTACCATTTGGAAAATGTACCAAAACATCATCAGGAAATAGCTTCAAAGCTAAAGAAAGCCATGTATGTGGATAACTGCGTAGCGAGCGTGGAATCAATTGAAGAATTAAACTCATTTATCAAAGGATCTAGAGAAATAATGGCTACTGCAAAATTTGACCTAAGAGGTTGGAAACATAATAGACTTAAAAATGAAACTTCAATTCTAAACCTTTCTGATAAAGATTATGAAGATGTTGTGTCAGTATTGGGATTGAAATGGGACTTGTTTGACGATACTTTGTCTTGTCACGTAAAATATGAAGAAAACCCTGTATTGAGCAAAAGATCTGTTCTTTCCGAATTGAGTAAAATCTTTGACCCAATTGGGTTTACTAGTCCAGTTACTCTCATGCCTAAACTGATTCTGCAAGAGTGCTGGAAACAGAAAATTAACTGGGATACTAATCTGCCGAATGATCTAGCAAGGAAATTTTTCACATGGTCATCTCAGTTAAAATATTTGAAAGACATCAAAATTCCTAGATTGCTTCCCAAAATAGACGAAAGTACCACTCTGCATGTATTTTCAGGACGCAAGCAAGGACGCGTATGCGACCTGCATTTTTCCTTAGACACAGCGGTGAGAGTGGAGTCACCTGTCAATTGATACAATCTAAAGCGAGAGTTGCTCCGCTAAAAGCACTCACCATACCTCGACTAGAGATACTCGCTTGCACTATTGGAGCCAGGCTCTCTCATACAATAAGAGAAGACTTGAAATTAAAAGAGGTTCCAGTTTTTTACTGGACGGATTCCACAAATGCTCTCTTTTGGATAAAACAGAAAGAAAATTGGTCCACTTTTGTAGCCAATCGAGTAAATGAGATTCGAAAATTGAGTAACCCAGATCACTGGCATCACATTCCCGGAAAGTTTAATCCTTCGGATTTGCCATCACGCGGTTGCTCTGCAAAAGAATTGAGGAAATCCGAATGGTGGAAAGGACCAGATTGGATTTATCGACCTCCAGAAGAGTGGCCTATTGCAGATGGAGAACATCCTGACTTCGATATAGTAAATGGAGAGAGAAAACGAACTGTGGTTTCAGCCAGCAATAACACGAATACAGATAAATTTAACCTTTTTGACAATATTTCAAAATTCGAAAAGATCATAAAGGTCGTATCTTGGATCTTTAGATTCATTAAAAATGCTACAACACCACCATCTGAAAGAACTCATGGGAGAATTTCAGTCGAAGAACTAAAAGGAGCTGAAACAGTGGTTTTCCGACTCATCCAACGAGAATCTTTCGAAGGATTGAAAGATAAAAGAATACGTGCTCTAGAACCTATCATGGACTCCAATGGCCTTATAAAAGTGAAGACACGTATCTTTCAGAGAGACGATGATGCTGACTTTCGTTACCCAGTTTTACTTCCCTCAGAACATCCATTAGTCTTAAAACTGATCAAATCTGAACATGAAAGGCTAAGTCACGCTGGAGTACAATTCGTTATGTGCGCTTTGCGTGAAAAATATTGGATCATAAAGAGTAGGAAGACCGTACGCAAGGTTATCCAAAACTGTGTACGATGTCGAAGGTTCGACTCTGATTCATATAAGATTCCTCAAGCGCCACTACCTGAAGACAGAATAAGAGATGCTTTAATTTTTGAGATTATTGGTGTTGATCTGACGGGTCCCTTAATTTTAAAAGGAGGCCAAAAAACATGGATCGTCATTTTTACTTGCGCAATATATAGAGCAGTTCACTTAGAGCTAGTCTCATCTCTATCAACCGAAAGTTTCCTGCACGCGTTCAGGCGATTCATCGCTCGAAGGGGTAGACCTGTCACTGTATACTCTGACAATGGAACCAATTTTGTTGGATCAAATAATTTGTTTAAGACCATAGATTGGAATTCTATCTTAGAAAATGCAACAGTTAAGAAAATTGAATGGAAATTTATTCCCCCTTCCTCGCCATGGTGGGGAGGGTGGTGGGAAAGATTAATTGGAGTACTAAAGAGAATTCTTCGAAAGGTACTAGGAAAATCTTCTCTGAACTACGAAGAATTGTTGACAATCATTTGTGACTGCGAGAGCATTATGAACAACCGTCCTCTCACGTATTTGTCAGAAGACGTAAAGGATTTAAGAGCTCTCACCCCAGCAATGTTTCTACAAGTATCTTTTTCTCTTTTAATAACCGTCATCCATTTCGTCAGATCATTGGAGTTTGCACAATGTACAGCAAACGAAAAATGTGTACGGGAAGTGTACTTTGCTGTGATTGTTGGAGGTTATTTTCACGCCAAACTGGACACTGGCGCCAAATACGTAAATGTAGTAAAAACAAATCGTATTCCGCCATTTTCGTCGGTGAGTGTTTTTATTGCACGTGCTAATTCTTAATTTGATTTTGTTATTTGTATTATTTTTATTATGTCTTTGTCTAAGCAAACAGGAAAAATGAAGATACTTATAATCGGAGATTCGATGATAAAATATTTAAAAGAATATTTATTGCTGAATTTACTGGATTATGAAGTTCATTTTCATTGTTTTCCGGGTGCTACGATTGAAAGGTTGACACGCAAGATAACCTTGATAGACAATCAATTTGAGTTAGTTTTGGTTCACGTTGGTACCAATAACTCTTGTGACACCTTTGGATGATATTCATCATAATATGATGATTGTCTGTATAAGGTTATTGAGCGCTTAAACCCGAAGATCATTCTCTTTTCAGGTATCCTCCCGCGGGAACGAAATTTATTCGAGAATGGTTTCAACCCGTACAGTTTAAAGAAGCTGAACAGAAAATTAGCTCGGATAAACACTAATCTTTTCGAAGCATTCAAAGGCCGAGAAGCTTTTTCTTTTTGCAGATCTGGTGAGTACTATTGGAGTACTTGTCTGTCAAGAGACGGATTGCATCTGAACCGTAAGGGTAATGCACAGCTTGGGAGAATTTTTGTGAAGGACATAAAGAGCGTTTTGAATGTGAAATCCCTTCCAAAGGTAAGTGCTACATCTTTTTCCTCTGTATCTGCTAGTATTGAGTTTCCAGCTTTATCCACTGTTTCAGGAAAACATCCTTCTGTACCTATCACGATTTTGGATAATTATCCTCGTGCTTCTGTCATTTCAGATACTTCAAGTACTCACTCTAAACCTCTTTATTCAAGTGTTTTGAAACGGGTTTCTTCTGTTTGCAGCACTTTGGATAGTCATCCTGATACTTTAGGCTTATCAGATTCTAGTGTTTCAGTTTTGTGTGTTCCTTCGAAACCACTTTATTCAAGTGTTTTGAAACGGGTTTCGCATGTCTGCACTACATTGGATAGTCGTCCTAATGCTTTAGCATTACCAGGTGTTTTGACTGATTTGGATAACCATCCCAGTATTTCAGTATTGTTGGATTCTCCTGATGTTCTTTCTAAACCTCTTTATTCAGATGTTTTAAAATATGGTTCTACCAACACGTCTTTGGATAATCATCCCAGTGGTTTCTTGTTATTGGATTTTCCAGTTCTTGAGCCTATAGCCAATATTGTTTTGAGTATTCTTGACATCACTGCACCAGTTTCTCCGGATTCCAGTACTCCATCTGTTCATCTAAGTGTATCTGTTTCTCAGCTTTCTGGTTCTTTGTATCCTGTTACAGTTGCTTCTGAGCTTGCAATTAATTCCAATTTCATCTGCTTCTCAGACTGCTTTATAAGATTTTTCCATTTCTTGAAAGTGCTGTTAACACTGGTCCAAATGTTAATGCCATTGCATCTGTTCCCCAATTTTCTGTTGCTTCTGTGCTCAATTCTGAATCTTCTGGTTATTTAGGTTCTGCTTTTCAGGTTCTCACCTATTCTAGTTCTCCTCCTGTTTCAGACTCGGCTTCTTTCATCTCATCAGATCTTACAGTTGTTGATCTTCGATCTGTCGGCTGTTTTTCAACATTTCATCGATTTCACTTTTTGAAGATGATAATGAATGTTCAAACTTTAAGTTTGGGGGTGCTAAGAGTCCAAATAAATCTGAAAATAACAATAAAAGTGAACTCATGAGTAATTATGATAAAGAAAATTGTGCTTCTAATGGAAAATCTAAGATTTGCCCTAACTGTAAGAAACCTTTTTCTTCTAAACAGTCCTTATCTAATCATAAACGTAACTGTAAAGGTATTGTAGAAATGAAATATCCCAGAGTGTGTGAAGTTTGCATGAAGTCGTACTCCACTAGACAATCATTTTCCAATCATAAAAAATGTTGCAAAGCACCATCAACTGAATGTATTCCAAAGGCATATATTTGTGACCGGTGTGAGAGAGATTGTAAAAGCCGCAGTAACCTTTTTCATCATAAAAAGATCTGTAGTATTAAAAATCCTACATCTAATAATTGTAAGCCATGTGTTATTCCTGATTGTAAGGAAACATTTTGTTCTGATAGTGAATGTAATAAACATTTGGCTGCTGAATATCATGATTATGAGATGGCTGTGCAAGAACATTACATTTTCATCAATAGGAGAATTTCAATTCTGGTTAGAATCGCATAGTAAGCAGACATTCAGTTCTTATAAAAAGTCTGCTGGAAGTAGGTGTAGGAATGATAAAAACTTTTCATTATTACTGTTTTCAATTTAATGTAATGCATAAAAAGAAAGTTCCTGTTTCTAGTAGAAAAAATATAAAAGATACTTTACCTTCCAACTTTAAGTGTCCGTCAAAAATTTTAGTTTGTGAAGAATCACAACTTGTCACAGCCATATTTTATTCGAATCATAATCATGAATTGTCTTTTGAAAATAGCAGGTTCCACCAACTTAGTCAGAGTTGCCGTAATAAAAAATTAAAGCTTATGCACAGTTAGGTGTATCCACAGATCAAATTCAAGAATTTATCAGAGATGGAAGTGGACTGCGGGATAATAGGGAGGGCGTATATGATAAAGATGTCTTTGTAACACGAAGAGTGATAAACACTTACAAAAAGCGGTTAATATGTTCCTTTCCTGGTGATGATTCACTTTCAGTTGCCACAATAGTTGAAAAACTCAGGCAAGAATCATATGATCCAGTACTTATTTATAAACCACAAGGAAAGCCAACATTGTACGGTCCAAAAGGGCTTGATGAACTTTCTTCTACAAATGAGTCTTTTGCATTAGGATTGCAGACTAAACAGCAGAAAGATATGATGATTAAAGGTTGCTCCAGGATTTTATGTATTGATTCTACTCACAAAACAAATCAATATGATTTTTATTTATTAAATTTAATCATTCCTGATGAGTTTGGTAGTGGTTATCCTGTAGCGCACTTTATTACAAATCTGACCAGGATACAAGGTATAATTTATTCCTTAGTATGAAGTGTGTAATACCTGAACTTTATATCAATTGTCTTATGACAGAAGATTACCCATCCTGCATTTGATAAAGTATTCGGTCCTGGTATTACACATTTGTTATGTAAATGGCATGTGCATCGTGCTTGGCAACAACTTGTGCCGAATGGTTTCTAATCAAAAACTTAAAAATAAAATTTAGGGTTTTCATCCGCAGAGAAGCCGTTGGCGCTTCGGGAAAGAACCCGTTGGCGCCGTTGCATTTTTACTCGCCAAGCTCGCCGATGAGCCGAGCCGTAAACGTGATTTTTAGTGCATGTAAATTCAAGTTAGCAGACAAAACAATATATTAAGCATACAGTAGTAACAATTCCCCCCCGGGGGTCGACGTAGAGAACTCCGCGAAGCTACTGGCTAGGATCTGTACCTAGGCAGTCTCGGCCACGGGGGTATAAAATTTATGAACTTGGTGGTTCTGAAGGCTCTGGGAAAGGTCACTTATTGGCCGGCCTCGGAGTCTGGCATGTCCTAGCGCGGTGTGGTGCTAGTAACCCAGGGGTTATCCCCCGGGGTCGCTGGGTAATGTCCCGCTGCGACGGGCTCGCCCGAGCGACTGGTAGGAGCACTTGACGACCGGTGCTGCCTGGGGCCCGTCTCCAGGTGGTGCGCGGCTCTTCTGGAGGGTAATAGTGGAGGTTCGTGCCCAAAGGGAGAGTCGACCTGCAGTGAGATTGTTCCTCGGAGCAGGGAAGCCCAAACGCCATAGTAGTAACAATTCACAGATAATATGCATGTAGATGTAAAACTAACCGGTTAAACGTGATATACGAAAATAAATTTGTATTAAATTCAAGTTAGCACAGAAAAGAATATATTAAGCATAAGACCAATATAGTATAAGCATTTATAACGAAAATAAAAATTCATTAAACAATATAAATTAGTATTAATATACTGAAATTAACCGGTTAAACGTGATAAACAAAAAAAAATTTGTCTTAAATCCCAGTTAACTCAGAAAACAATATATTCCTTACAACAGCAGTGGTTTGCTAATTTTGATAACCATGGTGATGCATCAAACTATTCTGTCATCTTAGATAATCAATAATATTTTTTATTTCAATTTAATCATCTATTTATGTTACACCTGCCATCCTCTGAAAGGTTATCGTTAGAAAAGCATTAACAAGATATTATCTTGTTAAAATTTTACGCAATAAAAGTTGATTTATTCTCAATTTTAGATGACAAAATAATAAAATAAAAATAAAAGCATTACTTAATTATTTAAAATGCACATTCACATTTTTGAAGCCTACGGAAACAAATTATTTTAAAGGTTGGGAACCTCGTGGTTCTTAGAGCTGTTAATAATTAAGAACACAACGTGAACAGCCGTGTTACAAATTAGCATTCATCCCTCCCGCCGTATTTTCTTCCTTGATCCCGATCCCGAACCGAGAACCTGGCATCTATCGACGAAAACTTCTTTATTTTACGAAAATATTTCCTATCTATTCCTTGTTAAAAAATTCAGAAAAAATAATAATAAATAAGAGTAATATAAATCTGCAAATGCGAACAACGACAGCTTCAATTCAACAAAATGAACACAAGAGGAATGGTTGCAAACTTCGAACAAGCGAATAGTATAAATCCGCTGGGTTACCAGGTTTTAACTATTATTGCCAAAGTTGGCGATGTTTACATTTACCGAGTTCTCTGCGGAAGTGCTTCCACTTACTCTTAGCTTAGGTGGCAATCCAGTTTCGAACAAAAGCTGTTAGTTCAGAACAGAATACAACTGTTTATCTCTCCTAAAAATCTTTATAAACTGCTTAACAGATAATGCAAATGCATCCAGTCTGCTTCGGAACATTCTTCTTTGAACTGAATTACGATGATGTATTCAGTTTAAGAGACACACCATACGCATAAACATTCATCCGACGTCATTACTTTTCGATCGCAAGATTTTTAAACGGTTGCACATAGGCAGCCGAAATCAAGACGATCGCTACGCCGCACAAAATGGTTTCGATCGGTGCTCGAGGATTGCAAATTGTCGCTCCGCACGAAAAACCCGTCATATGCGACGTCACTCTCGTATCGAGATCTCGTCGCACGTAAGGAGGATACGGCCCCAGGTCTCGTAGCCCGCAACGATGCGGTCCAGAAATACGGGATTCTCCTCATAACAGATCAAGTGCTGGAGACAGAAGCCCATTCGTCGTTTCTGATGATCAAGGGTCAGGTGTTTTGGTACCTATGCCGCACAAACTTTGCTGTACACCAGATGTTTGTGAATAATGGTGTTAACCGTTCCTTTACTCAGGTGGAGTTCGTGACTGATTTCACAGGTCGTAACCCTTCGATTAGCTTGGATCATTTCATTAACGGAGGCAATGGAATCATTGGTGATCGCTTTGTTTGCTTGGCCTGGTTTCGGCAGATCCGTTGTCGTTTGCCGCCCTTCATGGAAACTTTTACACCATTTGTTTACAGCCGTACGACCTAAACAGTGGTCGTCATACACTGTCACCATTCTTCGATAGATGTCCGCAGTACCTCACCTTCCGGAACAAGAAACCGTACTTTCGCGCGTTGTTCTGATCTGGACGCATCCATGGATAGCACGACTTTCCTTTCACACAATTTAATCTCCTAGAAACATGTTTCACGGTTAAACGTCGTCTGAGATGCAAGATCAAGATCATACTTTTCAAGTTCTAGGTCTCAACTACTTAAGAGGCCGAAGGCCAATCGCTTTTAGTTAAAATAAGCAAAGGTGCAATTAGCACCGCTCCCGCAGGCGAGAGAGTCATGGTCGCGAAGGCAAATGCCTCGAAGTCAAGCAAGAAATTTCTTCTCCTCCGTTTATGCGCCCACCAGGCGGCCGAGCGGCACACTGGTAGTTCGGTCCGAGGTTCGAATCCCGCGAACGGGCTGGCTGCATAGGTGCTTTCGTGGTTTTCCCCATGTGTAACGTGTATGACCCCGAGAGATGCATCTTGAAAAAGGAATGTTTGCTATGAAGAAAAATTGAACGTTTTTGAAAAATAAAATAAAGTTAGCCATTTGTTCTGCGAATCGTCGTAAAAGTTTAATTTTTCTCTTCAGCTATTCTCGTCATAAGCATGGCTACCTTGAATCCGGCTGCAAGTTTTTCTGCCGTTGTCTTTGCTTTCTTATGCTTTCTGCGTGATCAATAATGTTGCTGAGTAATTCTTGAATTTTTAATCTTTTAACCAAGATACGGCTTCTGACATTTCGTCTGGGATTTTTCTAAACTGGTTCTGCGGCTTATCGCTATTTGCAGGTCTTGAGGAATTTGGGTTTTCTTTGCTTTTCTTGGAAACTAATGCTGGAAAGTCTTCTTTTTTCCATGTAAAGTCTGCAGGTTCTTTTCGAATTTTTTATGGTAAACTTCACAGTCTCTATAACTACAAACATGATCTTTTTTACAAAAAATGCAGGTTAGTTTTTCTTCCTTCTTCAATGGGCAGGTGTTACTTCTATGCTTTTCTCCG